ATGAGGAAGTATATTGATTAATGAAGATACAGTTATGGCTCTGACTAGGGAAAAGAAGAAATGTCTGAATATAAATTTATGACAATATTTTGAAATTTATATGACGATTTTCTTCTACCTTTTCTTACATTTTGAGTTAAAAAAAGAAGAGAAAGAAAAATAGAAACACTTGTCTTTCTTGCTTCTAAGATTTTCCAAATATTAATTTTTTTTATAGCTAACGTGACATCCTATGGCAACGAAATTTATTTTCACAGTTTCTGAGATTTCTCACGAATTAATTCTTCGTTATCGTCGTGAACTTTTACTGTACAGGATTTTTTTTATTTTTCCGAGTGGATTTTCATGGCAAAGAAATTTGTTTTTCTCATTTTGGCGGTTTTTGGGATTTTCCAAGCATTAATTTTTCAGCGTTCGCGTAAATTCCTGTGGTGAAGAAATTTGCCTTTTCCGTTTTGGAGGCTTTCCAAGCATTAATTTCTTATTTTTATCGTTCACGCGAATCTCTTTGGCAAGAAAATTTGTCTTCACTGCTTCCGACATTTCCCAACCGTTAATCTTTGATCACCGACACGTATTTGCGTGGCAGAGAAAATCGTGACGCGACGTTAATGCTTAGTTCGGTTTGGTGTATGCGAAGGGTGACGTATTTACCAACCTTTGTGATCCCTTCGATGAAAGCTCTGGTGGCGAGTTCACCTGGACCATCCACCGTTTTTCCATCGTCATCGGGACCCCAGGACGCACTGTAAATGTCGATGTGCTGAGGATTCAGGCTCAGAGATCTTGCCTCTACAGCATCCGTTACGTCTCCGTCTAGCATTCTCACACCTATGGGAATAAGATGAAAGGCGTTTAATTAAATTAGTTATTTCGGACCCGACTTTTATTTTCAATTTTCAATTACTAGTAATTTCATTTACCAAGTTTCTGTATGTTAATTACTAAAATTGCGATACTTGGTAATATTTGTATAATATACAACGGCGAATTTATTGAGTTAGGTTTGGAGAGTTTGCTACGTCTTCGACGTGTGTATACGTGACACGACTAGTAGAAACGCGTGTGTATTGGTGAATGTTACAGAGAGCGGAACAATTTCCCAACAAAGAAGAATCGAATCGTTATATCGAATTTGTACCTGTGCTCTGATTAATTTTTCAACTTATTTTTAATATTCTATCACGAAACACGACTAGACACGTGACCTAGGTAACTTCCACGATCACCGGCAAAATTAATCGCTTTCTCACATTTTCATACCTAATCTCTCTAGCGTCACTTTCGCAACTTCCGCGACTTCGGAGATCTTACTCCGGGACTCCATTTTCGGACTTTCCGGTTCCATTTTAACGAGTTCCCGCGACCCTCGAGCAAAAGTGCCTCCCGATATTTGCATATGACTTACGGCTACCTGGTGCCGGGCAAGGTTAAAATGGTAATGCGTGCAGGTACGTGGACGGGCGACAGGTCGCTTAAAAGGGCCCAATTAGAAACTTTCCATGAGCTAACCCCGTTGACTGGAGTTTGTTAAGGTAGGATTGGGCGAAGAAGTTACCTTCTCCATGACGAAAAATAATCGAATCGTAGTTACTCTTAGTAACGACCGTTTCTGAAGAATTATTTTTCCATCGGCCATATAATTAATTGCGTTATTAACCCTTGGCCAACAACGATTAGGGGGTTAGTTGAATACTTTTGCATTCTTGCTACTATTCGATTGGCAATGACAGAGATAGGGGTTAATTGTCCTGAAAAAAAGACTAATTGTTAATAACTTTGCTGAATCGCGAAAAAATTTGGTGTAGGAAGAAATCATGTGTGAAATGGGACCCTGAAGATCCAGAAAAATCATTTATTATCGAATTAAATCAGTTTTATTCACGTAATCAGATAATTAAATGTATATCTCATCAGATATAATAATTATTTTAATAGTATTTCGTCCATGGAATTTATTAAAAAATAAATATACATACTGCTATATAGGAAAATTTTAGCCGATGAAATTAAATTTCTTGTTAAGAGATATGGGAAATTGCTGGGTTTACTCATTCAAGGTATGAAGATAATTTTAATAACTTTTGGGTTCATTACGTTATCGTTTATGGAAGTATAATGAGACATTTTGGATTTTATATAGGATTTTGTTGAAGCAATTTAATTTATTGACTAATTTTGAGAATCTTTAATTTCATTGAGCTGCTATTAATGAAGGTATATTGAAAAATTTATGGTACACTGCAGAATTTAGTTGATAAAATCTGTCACATTATCCAAATATTTCAAAACTATAGGGAATTCTCTATCACAAGATTTGTGAACTATCTTGAGAATTTTGGGATCCATTGTGTTATCATTTATGAAGATATATCGAAAATTTCACGATCCGATGATAGAATTTAATTTATATAACTTAACAGATCAGGGTATTCTGTACTCTGCACTCTGAGAATTTTCAGAGCATTTTATTTGGAGACTGAAGTTATTTTGACAATTGTTGGATTTACTAAAAATTTCTCAGTCTCATATGAGATTTAGCTGGTACGATTAATTCGTTAATTAAGGTCGAGTTCTAAGAATTTTCATAGCACTGTGTTCCATAGTTAGGGAACTATTTTGAGGATTCTTGGGGTTATCGAGTCGCCATTCATGAAGGTATATCGAAAATTTCTGCTATAGAACTCACTTGATCTTCGTCACGTTATGAGAAAACTCTGAGTATTGTAAGAATTTCTCTATATCAAAAATTCAAAAACCATTTCCAGAATTTTCCACAGAATCTAAAATATACTCGAATGCACCGAGAACGAATTCCAAGAATATTCCAAAAAAATTCCAATTTACATCGATTTACGATTTATTTAAATAAACTCACTCAATTGTTAACACACTAAATGATTTGAAACACACTACAGAAGATAGATAATATCCAATGGAATTTAAAATTTCCATAAAAGATTGCAATTTTAAATTTTTACTGACATTTCGACGTGTTAGAATATTTTTCCGAAATTTCGCTCTCGATCGGCTTTTTCAAATATTTAAACAACGGTTTGTAGAAAATAAATTTTTTCTTTTTTATTTCCAGGACCCAGATACTACAAAACGTTTTTGTCACTGGGCACACGTATGTACACGTTATATATACATTGCGGAATTTCGAGTTACACCAGTGTCCGAATATTTTTTCGACTTTTTTATTATTTCCCCGTAGAACCACCACGAGGCAGCAAATGAAAAAACCAATAAAACCGAACTTGTCGCTCTCTATTATATCCCTCGATTTATTACTCTCAAAGTAATCATGTTTTTCCTCGTTGCCTGTTGAAGGTTTACCACGGTCTCACGGGTCATCTGTTTTAATCGTGGGCGTATCTGTGTTCTCAACGATCGATGCGTTAGTTCGATGTAACGTTGGCCAACATGCTGAAATTCCTTGTCCGAGGAACAAGATAAAAGACCTCCTCTGGCAATCGAAGAGAGTCGCTTTCGAGCGACTGCTAAGCATGTACATCGAGATAACAACAGGGTATCTGCCCTCCAGTTGTCGACCCGTGGAAACATCCTGGAAATGCTTCCAGAAGATACACATTTCTGGAAATTTCATTCCGGCAAACGGGCAACCTTCAGTGCTATCGATTGTACCAGACTTTCCGCGTATAGCAAAGGCAGTAAGGAATTATTCGTTTTCCATGAGACCCTGATGGAAAGCGAGAAGGAAGGATGCAATTTTAGGCGAACCGAGACTATACTTCCTACGTTGGTACAGGGATCAGTGATGAATATTAAGGGGAAAATTGAAAGGGAATATTAACCCTTTGCGCTCGACGATTTTTTGGCTAAAAACAGGTACGAGTTGACAAATTTTCTGCTATAAGGTTGCTTATATTTTTTGAGCAGTAAATAAGAAATCGTATAATAACTAACACATAGAATTATTTAATTTCGATACCTCGCACACTATTATATTATTTTAAATTTGATGTATTAATTAATATCGAACTTCGAAATTTTATCAAATGGTGAGTGAAAAGCATCTCTCGAGTGCAAAGGGTTAAATTGAGAGAAAAAGGCGTTGATATACCGGGTGAATTTCAATTTCCCGTTGAGTTAGTTAAAGGACAACGAGTCCGGACCAAAATTAAGGGAATGTTTGTGAATTTCTTGAGAAGAAGCTATGAGACTTTGTATAAGACTTTGTTTGAAAATACTTTCAATTTTTTTTAGCATAAAATAGCGAAAATTGTAGGAATTATATAGAGATATGTGTAAGCAGGTTCAAAAATGGGTTCTAATGGCTGACTCTATAACGGCTGTTCTACTTATCGAATGGGAAGAAATGAGGAAGTATATTGATTAATGAAGATACAGTTATGGCTCTGACTAGGGAAAAGAAGAAATGTCTGAATATAAATTTATGACAATATTTTGAAATTTATATGACGATTTTCTTCTACCTTTTCTTACATTTTGAGTTAAAAAAAGAAGAGAAAGAAAAATAGAAACACTTGTCTTTCTTGCTTCTAAGATTTTCCAAATATTAATTTTTTTTATAGCTAACGTGACATCCTATGGCAACGAAATTTATTTTCACAGTTTCTGAGATTTCTCACGAATTAATTCTTCGTTATCGTCGTGAACTTTTACTGTACAGGATTTTTTTTATTTTTCCGAGTGGATTTTCATGGCAAAGAAATTTGTTTTTCTCATTTTGGCGGTTTTTGGGATTTTCCAAGCATTAATTTTTCAGCGTTCGCGTAAATTCCTGTGGTGAAGAAATTTGCCTTTTCCGTTTTGGAGGCTTTCCAAGCATTAATTTCTTATTTTTATCGTTCACGCGAATCTCTTTGGCAAGAAAATTTGTCTTCACTGCTTCCGACATTTCCCAACCGTTAATCTTTGATCACCGACACGTATTTGCGTGGCAGAGAAAATCGTGACGCGACGTTAATGCTTAGTTCGGTTTGGTGTATGCGAAGGGTGACGTATTTACCAACCTTTGTGATCCCTTCGATGAAAGCTCTGGTGGCGAGTTCACCTGGACCATCCACCGTTTTTCCATCGTCATCGGGACCCCAGGACGCACTGTAAATGTCGATGTGCTGAGGATTCAGGCTCAGAGATCTTGCCTCTACAGCATCCGTTACGTCTCCGTCTAGCATTCTCACACCTATGGGAATAAGATGAAAGGCGTTTAATTAAATTAGTTATTTCGGACCCGACTTTTATTTTCAATTTTCAATTACTAGTAATTTCATTTACCAAGTTTCTGTATGTTAATTACTAAAATTGCGATACTTGGTAATATTTGTATAATATACAACGGCGAATTTATTGAGTTAGGTTTGGAGAGTTTGCTACGTCTTCGAATAAATATGGTTCCCATAGTTCTTTAATTATATAATGATATATAAATATAGTTATTGTTTGGAAAGTTTGCTACGTCTTCGAATAAATATGGTTCCCATAGTTCTTAAATTATATAATGATATATAAATATAGTTATTGAACCGTTTATTATTCTTATAATTATAAGAATTTATTATCTAATCCCTCTCCAATTGCAAGAAGTTGAATACATTATTAGACAGGAATATTTAACGCCAAAATTATCATAGCTTAAACAACCGACTTCAAATTTTTAATTAAAAATTCTCTATTCAGTGTTATTAGTTAATCCCCTCGAATTTTCGACAGTTCCTTTAATATACGTAGTTGTTCAATATTTTCTATTTCTATTTCCTTTGAAACTCTTCCTCTTTCATTTTTCTAATTCTTCCATCTAGTAGAATTTGACTGGTCCTTGTAGATTTAGCATTGAAGAAAAGAAGACTAAAGGTTTCATAAAAATATGATAATGAAGAAAACCATTAACGAAAAACAATAATAATAATAATAATAATAGACACGCTATTCCATAAGATAATAACTCTACACAAATTTTTCTATCTCAATATAGCAAATGGCATCAATTTATTAAATTAAATTCCATCTTCTGTCAGTTTCCACGTAAAAATTTGACAGCAAAACGATGGAAGTATCTCTTATTTAATTTAATTAATTTATTTTAATTGCAAAATACTGTCTTGGATTTTATACGAATTGAACATCGAATATGCAACATCTTGAAATGCTGTTTGTAAATTATATGTTTATAGATACAGTTATGACTGTCATTATGCTTCGATCTAATGGTTGAACTCCATTCTTCGAGCACACTTACCACCAACGCCAGCTCCAAATGCAACTCCCACAGCGCACAAGGAATTGTTAGCAGTTGCAGCCACTTCACCGGCGCATCTGGTGCCATGTCGATTACTGTCTACGACATCGTATCGCGGCATGGGATCTTCATCATGGTTGTTGACGTCGTAGCTCGCTTGCGGGTCCTGCAACGTATATTTTCGTATTTTTCCCGTCAATCTTGTGCCTCATTTTACAGCTTAAATTACACGCGATAAATATTAAATATTAAACTGGTATTATATAAATGTCATCGGAAAAATGAAATTTTTATCGAGAAATTATTGTAACATTTTTGACATGTCAAAGAATTACCCACTTTGAATCTTTTATGCTATAATATTGCTCATGTTTTAATTTTCTTTATCGTATTTCAGTAAAATTCTTTTAACCTCTACACGCGAAAAATAAATAACTAGAAAGAGAATGGTACAGAATTGGAAGTAATTACTTTATTCCAACGAAAATTTGGTCTAAATTTTATTGGGGAAATATATTTCTGACAATTTCATTTTCTCCTATATAATTACTATTAATTACTATTTTTCTAGTTTTCTGAGAGACAACAATCGAGTACAAAGGGTTAATAATATTTTTATTTCTAAATATAAATATATTTATTTTAATTATACGTACTAATATACTAATTTTAGTGTTTCTTACTTTCTTTTCCTGTTTCTTTTCGCCTCGTGTCTGTTTTACAACCTAATTGCTCGACAATATCTCGTATTATACTGCACCTCTTCTTCTTATCGTTCGATAAGATGTTTGATTAATATCGCGTGAACTACTTTCGTAATTAATGAATACAACTTCTCTACAATTTTACGAACTTCATCGTGAATATCGATTTCCTACTGGATCCGAAGTAATTGCTTTTTCCTTCGGGCAGTTTAAAAATTGTTTTAAAGTCCGAGTTCAGTATCACGATTCTCGATTTCTTTCGTGCAATATCTTCCTTTTATTGGTTAAACAATTCCTTCGAAAAAATTACGAAATCACATCGATTGCATTCCCACGAAACAATATTTTATACTCCTACTCAGTTACAAAATTAGAAAAATATCAAATCATTCTTCGCGAAATTAAAGAACCCATACACCTTCCTATAAGCTCGAGAATAATCGAAGCATTTGTTATTTAATATTAATTAAAAGAATTTTCCACAATATCACTTGTGACACATTTGTGAGTGAATTTGACGATAGTGCAAATTATAAAACACTATTATTAATATTGATTACAAAATAGATATATAATAAATAGATTATAATAAATAGATAAATAGATAATAAATAGATTAAATAATTGGACCCTTTGCACTCGGTGATTATTTTGGTTACAGAGAAATAGCAATTTAATAACTTTCTGCTGTAACGTAGAGGATATTTTTGAAACGGGAAATAAGGAATTGGGTATAAATTAAGACTTAAAATTATTTGATTTCGATATTCCATGCAATCTTAGATTAGTTTAGATTTGATATCTTCATTAACATAGGTCTTCGGAATTTGATTAAACGGTGACTTAGGCTCACCTCTCGAGTGCAAAGGGTTAATAACTATAATCGTTCCACAGTGTATTTCTCTATCTCTCTAATACTCTTTTCCTCGCACTAACAATATGTACTCTTTTCTGTTTCCTTTTCTGCGATTGACTTCTTTCCCATAAAAATCGTCAACCATAAGATTGTTTCTTTTCTAAATTATAATTTATTTCACAATTAACCCTGTTGACAGTCTTTACGCTTTTCGTATTATACAGATGTTTGTCGTTTCACTTTTAATTTATGAGTACTCATTATTATTTTTCGTTTCACGTATCTCCCATCAGCATCCAAGACTAAAATGGAGCCTACAAGATCCTCTCACACATGAAAAAAATATCCCCACTCGAGCATACGCATTCACATTCGTACCATCTCACACGTGAAACCAATCCCGCAGCACCAACCACGAAAAAATTCGACGTTCCTCCCAATATCCAAATACGAAAATCCTATCTTTCTAAAAATTACAGACTTCAACTTCATCGACGAAATTCGTCCACGAAGGTCGTGCCATTCGCGAGATCAATATCGACCAGAGTAGACCGAGTCTGATCATAGGCATCTGCCGGGAAATTGTGCAGCTCGATACACGTTTGTTCGTGGTTGCCTTATTAACCCCGGCCATTTGCCAGTAAACACACGCGTTTCTCTCGTGCGGTTCGGGTCTAGTGTTTGACTCGTTGGCTGGCTCCGAGTTTCACTGCTAACTTCGACAATTTCGCCACGAGTCCACTTCTTGCAGTCCGCGAACCCCTTCCTTCGAGTACTTGCCGCGTTACCTCAGGGTCGATCGTGTGCTACATTAATCGCGCGGACGTATCTGACGCGTTGCCCTCTGATAATTTCCACCGCGACAACCTTCCGCGCTCGGAGTTAGACATTCGGTATACAGGACCTCTCGCGGCAGTTTCCAAACGGCTGTACAGTTTTTGGCACCGTTCCGACAGTCTCCTCTATCCGTCCTATTGCGCAGTTTCCCTCGACCTGTCTGCTCTGTTTGTTTCGTGCGAGCTGTCGATCTTTGTGCGAAGTGCAGCGGACCCTGATAAATTGGCAGGAAATTGATCCTCCTACCGTCAAGCGTTGTAGCTGCATACTCGTTTCGACTTTGAACGAATAGCAGGAACGTTTTATCGAAACCAAGGTGGGATTAGACGTTTTAATTTTGAATCGTTATATTTCTGCACAGGTGTATACTCGTTTTGACAGCTTGTATACTAATATTGGAACGATAGGGAATATCGACAAAACCGTGTGAAAATCGCGAATTTTTCAACCCTTTGCACTCGGAAGTCTTTTGGTTACGTAAAGATAGTAATTTTTCTGACACGAGTCGATGACGTTATTATTATGGTAATAATATAGACTTACGTAGTTATCACAGAGATCAGGATGGTTTTTTTCCAATCCATCATCAAGGATCGTGACTACGACGCCGTGTCCCGTAATTCCTTCGGCCCAGGCTTCCTGCACGTTCATATCTAACCCCTTACCCCTGTTCTGAAATCAATTATCGATAGTCGTGCTTTAATACGTTTTTCTTCAATTTACGAACGCAAACAAGCCTCCAAATTTTTACTCAATCGTGCCAGGGATAAGCGATTTTAAATCCGTTCAATTTCGTCCTTAGACGATAATTGGCTCCGAGAATTTAAATGTAAGATCGAGGGAATGTAAGTTATAATTAGCATGAATTTAGCGTGAAAATTAAAATATCTAGGTAGTTATTTCTGTCTATGTATCATGGTGCCACTTTCAACCGAGTAGCCCGTGCACGTTTGATCGATCTAGCGAGAGAAATGAACATATTCAACTAACCAAGTACCACATTTGGGGCCACATGTCGTCGTTCAGAACGGTTTTCAGGTTGGACGGACCGCGTTTGATTATCAGATCCCGTTTCGTTCGTGATTTTACCCGCTGCTGTTCCGCACGACGCACTCTGCGGTCTTGTATTAGTCTCTCTTGTACCCCGAAATGCGGTTCCGCTGATCTCTTCACCACCGACGTGTGCACCATGTGGTACCAGTCGTCTACTATCTGCAACAAAAAACGATTTCATATTAACTGTCTTTGTCTGGGAAACAGGGCAATTATAACAACAAAGTTTGCTCGATTGAATTTAACATTCTATCACCATCCTCCTCTCGTCATTCGTTGTCATTTATTATTTAGAGATCAGGAAAATTTGATGCTATTAAAGAAAAATTTACTTTCTTTGTCCACAAATGAAAATTCTATCGAATTTTGTTTTTAGTCATTTTGGTTCGCGAGATATTAAAAGAAAATTAGTTTTTGAACTCTAACTTTGATGACTGTTTTCACCCCTTTAATATGGACAATGGCCGATGAAGAAAATACTATAAAATAATTTTTTCGGAAACTTTTTCTCATACAAACTTCATCAAATTCGGTGTATGCGAATTTACAAAATTATTTTATAAATAATTAATCTCGATAGAAAATCTCTGAGCTGCTACAGTAATAAAATATGCATTTTGTATCGAAACCTTTTATTGCTCGATTAATTACGCTTTTAATTAATATTATATATTTCATTGAAATTTCCCGACGATGCACGCTTTTGGTAAATATAATATAAATATCGAACGTATCAGTGAATTATTCTTCACTATTCTTTAATGATACAATAATAATCCCCCTTCCTACGTGTAACATATTATACCATTGTATTCAAGCGCATATTTGTCTGGTTGAAAGACGTAAATGTAAGTCGTCAAAAATTTTCATGTACGAGTGTATTTCGACAAAAATACATACGCGAGCTACTGTAGCTCATTTAACTGAGAAAATATTCACCGAGATTCATCTAACGTCGTGGTCAAAGGAGAAATATAATTATTCGTAAAAGTGTCTTAATCTCGTCGGGAGTAAACGACGATGGTGGCGCTAGTGTAGACTAACGCTCGGAAATTAGAGGTAGCCTTAAGACGAACTTACGTTCGGTACGAGCTACGTTAAATGGAAATGGCATTAAACTAGCATGGGAAGTTTCCTTCTTCCGCTTCATTCTTCTTTTCCTTTTCGAGAATCGTTAACGGCGGAAGGAAAAGATGCAAGTCGTCGCAGACTTTTGCAGGGTATTCATTAAGGACGGAATATCCGTCATATTTTCAGATCGGGGGGGAAATTTGTGTTGCTCTGTATAGCAAGATTATTTGATGCACAAGTTTGTTTCATGGTATGCGCGATACGCGACGGCTAAAATATATGGCGCAACGTAATGATAAATGTGAAAAGTTGGCAACAGCTGTTGCAGGCGAGCTTCTTACTGCTTCTTTGCTCGTGACAACTTGCGCCCCATTTTTTCACGACGTATGTTTCTTTGTTTCGAGAGTGCAGCCCGCATGGAAGCATTTCCATTGCAATGGAATTACAATGGAAGCATGGTCCCAGCGTGCCTTTATCGAGTTAGCAAGAGAAGTACGCTTGTATTTTTATTATTTGGTATTTACTTCGACTCTAATTATTCTAAACCCGATGTAACTACGAGGTAATATTCGTACCACGTCACTGGATTACGAATGTTTGCAGAAATAATACTCGTATGCTACGATAAGCAAGATACCTTTATTTATTATTTAAATTTTTGCACTGTATTACGGATAAAATACATTAAGTATTTCCATTTCCCATAAATATATCTTTAATAAATGAAAGAAAAATAAATTCGCAGGATTTTTAAACGAGAAGATACATTTCCTTTCATATCTGAATATTACTATCGTAAATACCCCTATTTACTTTATTTATCGCAATTATCAAGAATCAGATGAAATAATATAAAATACGCCGTGATGAAAATTTTTACAGTATTTTCGGATAATTAAATCAAAGACAAAGATTGCAGAATTAATAATTTAGCAAAATTAATAAGAAAGAATAATATACAAGGACCCCAGTCTCTTCTTTTCTTTCCTACTTTCTCATCAATTTTCTCCAGTCTCGTCACGCCTTCCATAGTTCCCACGATATCGACATGGCGATAACCAAGCAGATAGGAAGTTTCGAGTAACATCAAAATTCCACTGGACTTAGTCTTGGTTACTCCGTGTTCTCAAGAATTACGACTACCTTTACGCACTTCCACCAGTACAGGTGGTCGTGGATCCAGGCCATCATTCGACTTATAGATCTTCACTCTGACTTGGTACTTCTGCTTCTGCCATTCGCCAGATGACTTGTAACATATACGCTTCTTTCGTGGTGGTAAGTACATTCCATGTGGCTGTTTCGAACGCTTCGCGTCGGCTTCCATCAACCTATTATCGCAGGTCCTTCGTGCATCTTCCACTCGGGGGTCTTTGTGATAACTATACTTCGCACTCGATGCATCAGTCTTCGAGACTCTGCACCTGGCTTTTGATGGCGTCGTTGACGAGACACTTGACGGCTTCGTTGACGAGATATCTGACAGCTTAACTGACGAGATACACGAAGGATCAACGAAATTCGATTGACTCCCTGTACATCTTTCAGCGGATGGATGTCGGAAGCATGTCTTATCAGCTCTCTCCAAGGATTTCTTATACGATGGAGATAAGCAACTATGAATGTCGTAACTGGACTGACGTTTCGTTGGACGTTCTGACGTGCTTTTACTTGATTCATCGTAAGGAACGAATACCATAGGAGAAGGACAAGTCGACGAGCTGCGTTTCTTGTGATACTGGTCCATTTCTGTCCTTTCAGACCAGTGAACAGACTTTGGCGGTGGTGGGTCAGGCTTAACCTCGTCTGATAGAGAGTCAGACATGTCCTCGGAAGGTTTCAGCTTCTTCCTTTTCTCTGATATCATACAGAGAAACGTTTTGATCGCGTCAGAGGTACGTTTCTTCGCGAGAAACGCGATTGTGTCTATTTTTGGAAGCATCTTTGACCCTTTTTTGGCTGCATCGTATGTCGTCTGACGTAGACCAGGCGACTTGCAGTCAGTCTGATCGCGCCAGCGGACGAATCGATTGCTCTTTATACGATCAGGTTGACAATCTTGGGGATACTGTGGTTTACAGACCTTTGGGATCGTTTTGAGATAATTTTCCCACGACCTTTTATAATCCTCGAAATTTGTCGCTGCCTTGTCGACGCTTTTGTACTCTTCGGGTTTGTAGGAATCGGATGGACCCGACTTTTGCATGGAATGAACAGCTTCCACATCTGGATGCTGTGTATTTTGATAGTTCGAACGAGATTGATCTATTGGAGGTGGCTGAGTAGTATGATCAGGTGGATGAGAATGTCCTTGTTGGCAAACAACCTGAGTATCTTGCTGGCATGCGTGAGTGGATGGTTGGACGCTTACTTGAGCAAGAGAACTCTGAGGATCTTGTTGATAAGTATGATCAGATGCTTGGGTATATATTAATCTAGGATCTTGCTCTGAAATTTGATCATGTGTTTTAGAATCTACTTGTCCAGGAGAGTCTTCTGCATTTTGCTGGAAGGTATGATCAGGTGTTTCAGAATATTCCTGTTTAGGAAGTTTCTGACGATCATGCTGGGAAGCATAATTAGACGTTCGAGAATATACTTGTTTAGGATGCTTCTGGAGGCCTTGCTGGGAAGTTTCATCAGGTGTATAGTTACATTCTTGGTTGGCAGATTTCTCATAACCTCCTGTCGTTTTTATAGGAGATTCTTGATCGTTGGACTTTGTAGACCACCTATTTTCGATAGGCTCTCTTTTGACAAGTTTGAAGGAAAAACTTCTCTTTGTACAATTAATTACAGGCACGCTACTTAATCGGTTTAGGCGAATTGGTAGAGCCTGAGTTAGGATATGGGTAGATAGTTTCGTCTTCAGTGGAACGATTTGTTGCTCAGACGAGTTGAAGCGTTCACTTTCAATAGCAAAATCGATACATCTACCCAAGTCAAAGTCTTTCCTGAGAACGAGATTCAATGACTCATTAAATATTCGCGTGGTGGAGATTTTTTTGTTGAAGTAGTAATCGATTATTTCTCTCAACCCGTTCTCTTCACGTCGGGGTCCAGTTTTCCCTGTGACAGTGTTCTCTGAGCCTTTTACTTCGTCAAATTGCGTGCATCTCGTACTCGTATTTCTCATTCCTCGTATTGACAATTGTGCCCTCGAGGATACCTGTCAGTCGTAACACATATCGATGAAGCAGAATGTGAAAGCACGATGAACGAGTATGCGAGCAAAGAAAACGCGAAAGCAAATAATTATTCGAATTAATGCGAGACTGGTGATAGCGCAGAATTTTTATTTCTTCCTTTATATTGTATCTCTTTTCACAATTGCTATAATACAATACTTGTAACCTTCACAATTTACCCTAACTCCTACAAAGACTCTACGAGTACTTAAAATTTTGTAAGAAATATTATTTATATTTAAAAATTTTTGTCGACTATTATTCATATTCATTATCATTTTCTTTTAGTTTACTTTGTTAATTAATATTTTCTACACACATACACTAATGGAGACTTCGTTGTATATTACGAATATATTATTTTTATTATAAAATGTATTTGAAAGGAAAAGGTAAGATCGTTTCACGTAATATTTCCAATAAATATTCTCTGGATAATCTACGCTTTTACATAAAATGGAATATTTCTAGCAAAATGAAATATTCACATTTAAAACGTTTGTATGAATCTTTGATCTGTTTCCCTTTTCTTTTCTTCCCTCTTTACCGACAGCAAGCTGTCGAACAAATCTATTTTTAATCGCGAGGTATTCTTAAGAATTTCGATGGATTTAATGGTGGTATCATGACAAGTTGAAATGTGTCTCATGCTCTTTGACGCGAAGCTTTACCTTTCGAAATAAAAGTCCCAACATTTCCTACAACGACTCGTCGGTGTATTTTCCGTTCAGACCTTACATCTTTCCTCCTTTCCTTCCTCCTTTTCCTGTTTCCTTTCTGCGATTACTCCCTCAGTCTATTTGATTGCACCTTTTCATCATTGGAATACTGATCTCGAGATGGAAGGAGAATATTGACGTGGATTTGATTACGTTCGAGGTTAATTGCTCGAGAAATTTCCTCGTGTTCTTTATTGGGCTTTATGTCACAGAAAGTTCAATATTTTTGGTACTTTCACGCTATCTAGTCGTCACAGAAAATTTAATTACCGGGACATAATGGTTTGGTCAATGGAGAATGTTTCTTCATGACTATCACTAGAATTTTTATACTTATCACGGTGGATGCGAATGATCGAACAGTATTTATTAGCTTATATCTTCAGACTGATCGAAACGTATTTTCAGCATTTTTTCTAATATGTACGATGTTAATTAATTAAAAAGAAAAATTGTATTGGTTGTAGCTCGGTAAAAAATTAACGAAGAAATCGTCCATTTTATGTAGCTCCTTGATATGGTTATTTTTTCGTATAATTTGTAAGATGTTAATTAATAGAAGTTAAATAGTAATGTAATAAAAAGATTTGAAATTTAGAAAAAAATTTTAGTTCATTGCAGCTTCGTATTAAATAAAGAATTAATTCGGAAATTACAAAAGTATAATTCTAAAATTGCAGGAATAATCACAATTTTATTTAGCAACATAAAACAATAATTTTTTCCATGTAACGTGTACATTAAATAGAAAATCACGCGAAGTTCTACAATGAAAAGAAATAACTTCAACTCTACATAGCTTTTTAAAATAATTATTCCTCCAATTATATTTTAGATATTTCTATTATTCAGTGTAAATTATTACTTCATAGATGATAGAAAAAAAGAAATTATAGTTTATTTAAAATTATATGTTTTTAAAGGCGAAAAATGAATACAAAATAAAAAATAGATGGAAAAAACTATTAATTATGAGCGGGATCGAACTCTGCCTCCCAACGGTAGAAACTTTCTAACGCTGCCACTAACCCACAACGGTATTAAGTAAAAACAGATAATTAATTGGAGAAATTGTCCAGTTAAGAATAATAAAGCTTTAAGCATAAATATCTCAAAAACTATTGAGTAGTTGCTCTTATAATGGTACATTTTCTTGAACTGGATGACTAAATCTACAAACCTGAAAAGTTTAAACTAAATCAATGACCCGAATGGCTTACACTCTTCCTGTTAGATTTAATTTTCTACACTTATCGTATTCAATTTGTCATACATCTCAATCTTTCTCATCTCCTTTTCCAGTATGACTTTAAATATCAATATTCGCACAGTTTCCAAAAGATAAATTGAATATAGAGTATAAATGTTACAGTAAGACAAAAATCTGTAGAAATATCCATAGGAACTTAGAAATTATAAAAGTAGCAGAACTAATAGGACTATGACAAATAAACTTGATTGAGCCAATAAAACCAACGTCAAAAGGAGGTAAAAGGTATGTCTTAACTACTGATGATTACTCGAGAATGATTATTGTCTTGCTCGTACAAGAAAAAGATCAGATAGCTGAGAAAATAAAAAGATTAGTGACATTAAAAGAAAATCAATCTATCAAGAAGTTGAAAAGGACTTATATGCAGAGACAATGGAGGTAAATTTGTGGGACAAGACCCCTAGGTTTGGTAAAATCAAAAGGAAGTAAATTAAGATTTGATTCCAGCTGGGATGCTGTGCAATGGAGTTACTGAGAAGAAGTACAAATCCACCATAGAGATGACAAAGATATTTATGATGGATCCAGATTTGCCAATGTATTTTTGGGCAGAAGTGGTGTCAAGTGGTTCAGCTGTCCATATAAAAAACAGAACAAAGTTAGCTATCCGTTAAAGAACTCCTTATGAGGTTTAGTATGAGTGAAAGCTAAACATAGGGTATATAAAAAGATTTGTTCCAAAAAAGGAACAGGTGAAGAATGAATATGATGTAAAATTCAATGAAACAATGAATAGGGCTCAGGTATTGAAAAATGAAGATGAGAAAAAATATAAGAAGAATGATGAATTATAAATTGTTGAATCTATGGATTAAAATAGACAGAAAAGTCTAGGAACAAATACCTTACTGATGTGTTAATCAAAAAAGGATTACACCAGTCAAAGAAGAATCCATGTTTATTTTGCAAAGTGGAAAATCATAGATTTCTATACTGTGAAGTACGCTAAGGTGACATGGTTATAATAGTAAGCAATCAAGAATTTGAAAGAAAAGCCATGGAGACAATAGAACAAAAAATGGATTATTGAAATTATTGGGGGAAGCTAGAACAGTTTTGGGAATGCAAATGGCACAGAACAATGGAAAAATCCATATGTATTTAAGAAACTATACAAAAAAATTGTTGGAATCCTATGGAATAAGAGAACGTAATACTGTATCGACCTCAATAGATGTAAATGTCCATATAGATAACCATGGGAACAGCAGAAGATGCAAGATAAACCAATATCAAGAATTATTAGGGTATCTCATGAATTTGAATAGAAACAGTTGCAGTAGGATACTTAACCATGATTAAAAAATGATAAATATAAATGGATTGAAGAAAAAATTGAGATATTTGAGGGGCACAATGGAGTATTTCCTTGAATTTTGGATAGGAACAGAAATCTAATAAATGAAATGCCAATGTAAAAATTATTAAAAATGAAAAATAAACAATTAAGTTAAATAAATTATTAAACGTGAGAAATAAATTAATTAAAGAAATTAATTTAATAAATTATTATAAGTGAAAACTAGATAAATATTAAATTTTGTAACCAATATATAATATATGTTACTATATATTATAATTATTAATTTTATTAATTTAAAATATCTTTGTAGTGGAAATTAAGCATTCTTTAAATTGTCATTTTCATAAAAGAAACATATTTATATATGCTTCATTGATATTAATAAATATAAGAGATATTGTTTGATATTCTACATCGATAGTTTAGCAAATAGCTATTTCAAAGACGAAGCATCTTCCCGCGAAAAAAACGCATAGCTTGTCTCACAGTAGACAACTTTCAGTCGATGCCGAATCGAAGAAAGAGGTAACACGTGGCAGAATATTATCACTCGTTAAAGTGAAACATTCATTATCGGCTAAAAACGTTTTGTGAAGTAGTGATGTAATTGATGTTTTAATTGTTGCAACTGACGGATTATATATTTAACAACAATAGTGTGCGGTATCGGACATTATTTCAACAATGGCAATTGTAGGTTATATTCGAAACATTGCCGAAATATTTACGAACGGGCGACAGTTTAAAGAATTATGAGACATTTAGCAAGATAAATAGATTTAACCGCAATATTTGGAATGAAGTGAGACCTAGTGAAATTCATGGATGTAAATAGTGTAGTTACATAGTGCAAATCATATAAGGACACATGTGCCAAATGAAGTGGTGTGACTGTAAATGATATAGACCCGAATAATAACCAAACATCAATTGTAGATTAGACTTCCATTGCACATAGGGATAAAAGATCCACATTGCTCAGTCTCGGCAACTCTTTCATAGTTTTAGAAATATTTCTCCCGGTTTGACGATGCATATATGAAATAAAGGGAGAGAAGTACAAATGTGTATAATGTCGAGCCGCATATAACGGTGTATCTTGTCGTTTAGCTCACTCTGTAGCTAAGGCTGTTCGCTGGCAGGTTTACCGATTTTCGCCGCTCGTTTCGCAAAGACAGTGCAGAAAGTGGAATTGTCCGACGGCTCGTGCTGCGTAGTTTCATGTTGACATTTAGATCGTTTAAAATAGGAATTTTGACCCGGTTTTTTCTATTATACTCCGTAGCCTGGAATGTTGGTTAACAGATTTGCCGATTTTTTTCCGATTTTTGCCGATCGTTTCGCGAAGACAGTGCGGAATGTGGAAGTGTCCGACGGCTCGCGTTGCGTAGTTTCATGTTGGCTTCTAGATCTTTCAAAATAGGAATTCAGTCCCGGTTTTTTATATTTCACTCGGTAGCCTGGAATGTTGGCTAACAGATTTGCCGATTTTCTTCCGATTTTTGCCAATCGTTTCGCGAAAACAGTGCGGAATGTGGAATCGTGTGACAGGTCGTGCTGCGTAGTTTCATGTTGGCCTTTAGATCTTTCAAAATAGGAATTTTAACCCGGTTTTTTCTATTTTACTCCGTAGCCTGGAATGTTGGCTAACAGATTTGCCGATTTTTTTCCGATTTTTGCCGATCGTTTCGCGAAAACAGTGCGGAAAGTGGAAGTGTGTGACAGGTCGTGCTGCGTAGTTTCATGTTGTGCTTTAGATCTCTCAAAATAGGAATTCTGACCCGGTTTTTTCTATTTTACTCCGTAACCTGGAATATTGGCTAACAGATTTGCCGATTTTTTTCCGATTTTTGCAGATCGTTTCGCGAAAACAGTGCGGAATGTGGAATCGTGTGACAGGTCGTGCAGCGTAGTTTCATGTTGGCCATTAGATCTTTCAAAATAGGAATTCTGACCCGGTTTTTTCTATTT